ATGAAAAGAATTTCAACATGCTCTTTCTCTACAATCATCACAGTTGCGTCCTCTATGGACAGGCGGCTGCAAAACAGCAGCAGCAGACTTTGCTTGCTGCTGCTCAGACTCGGCACTGGCTGAGGTGCATCTCTCCTCTCGCCTCTTTCTCTCTGCTTTTCGCCTGTGCTACATTGTGTCTTGGCGCCCATAGAACACACACACTTCGGGGGACCGGTTTCATCATTACCAGATTCTGCTCCAACTCGGGTGATCGACAGCATCATCCTCTCCGAGGACATCGGTGGGGCTATCATCTTCAGCACCATCAACAGCAAAGGCAGCACTATTTCCTAGTGAGAGATTGCCTGCCTGACAACGGCTGCCCTGCTGTGTTGACAACGGTGGTGCCTGCCTGAACACCATTTGCCGGCTCATCAGCGCCAGCCACTTTGTTGTCCTTTTCATTCCCCCCTTTTTCCGAACTCAGGTACTGTTATGATCTTTTGTGCTTCTCATGTGTACTCTAATGCTAATTTCCTGATTATCTGTGTTTTTCCTTTAGGTCTCTGATCAAGTGAACAAGTGGATCAAACCGCTTGAAGAGAATTGTTTTTGTCTTTTGTCAACTGCTGCTAACACTGACGTGTTACTGAGTGCCCTCACGACCGCCGACCGCCATGACCGACGCCGGCTTCTTCCGCGGCACCAGCGCCGACCAGGACAATCGCTTCTCGGACAAGCACAAGAAGCTGCTGAAGCAGCTCAAGTTCTCTGAGGCGCTCACCCAGAAGGTGGACATCAAGAAGGTGAACCTCGACGTGGTGAAGCCCTGGATTCAGAAGCACATCACGCAGAGCCTCGGCCTGGACGACGAGGTCGTTTACGAGTATGTGATCAACCAGCTGGAGGCGGAACGCCACCCCGATGGACGCATGATGCAGATCAACATTACCGGCTTTCTCGACGGTAAACGGGCGCGCGAGTTTATGGACAAGCTCTGGAACTTGCTGCTGGATGCTCAGTCTACGGAGGACGGCATTCCGCTGGCGCTGGTCGCAGAGAAGGCCGAGGAGATGAAAAAGCGCTCTGCCACTGATGGGAACAACTCGGAAAATGGAGGCGGCGGCGGAAAGTCCACCAACGGTTCACTGAGCTACGGACTGCAGGGCGGCGGTGATTCAGCAGGTCGGAAGTCCTCGGATCAGCGCAAGTCTGATAAGCAGCACTCGTCACCGCCTCACCGCAATTCTCATAATCGAAACCGATCGCGCAGCAAGAGTCCTCCTCGACGCAAGTCATCACCACCACCTCGACGTCGTAGTGGAGGTGGAGGAGGCGGCGGCGGAGGACGAAAGGCAAGCAAATCACCTTCGCACTCTGCCTCATCACCGTCACCTCCGCCGGCCCGGGGAAACCGAAATCGTTCCCGCTCTCCAGTGGCCCGTCGCTCCCGATCCCCAGCAACTCGCCGCACTTCCCGCTCCCCGGTTCGCCGATCAAAGGCCTCACCCTCTCGCAGTACGTCCCACAGTGGTCGGTCACCCTCTCCGAAGCGAGGTGGTGGTGGTGGTGGTGATCGTCGACGCGCCGCCTCCAACTCCTCTCGATCACGCTCTCCCCCCTCTCGCCGACGACACTCCAGTCGCTCTCGATCGGCCAGCTCACGCTCTCGATCTCCTCGGTCGCCGCGAAGGGCAGCAGGAGGTGGTGGTCGCTCACCCCCGGGACACTTTCGCGGCCGCGGACGATCGCCCTTTCGAGGTCGTGGCGGACGGCGGTCCTACTCGCGATCACCACCTCATGGCGGGGGTGGCTCGTTTCGACCTAGAGGCGGCGGTCGTGGCATGGCTGCCTTTGCCTCACGAGGATTCGGCGGACCTCGCGGAGGAGGCGGTGGTGGTGACCGTTTCGGTGATCGCCGCTCTTCCCCGCCTTCTCGATTCGGAGGCAGACCAGACCGAAGAAGCTCACCGTCGCCGCCGCCACGAAGAGGAGGCGGTGGCGGCGGTCGCAGTAGGTCTCGATCACCGCCGATGAGAGGAGGAGGAGGAGGACCCCGAGACGGTGGTCGCCGAATGAATGAGCCCCCTGGTCGTGGTAGCGGCGGAAGAGGCGGCCCTGGTGGTCGCTCCCCTCGCGACTCTCGCTCTCCCTTCAGTCGCTCTCCGGTTCGCTCGTCGACGATTCCACAGCCCCCACCTCCTCCTCCAGGCGGTCGGTTCGGCCCTCCGCCCTCTATGGGCGGTGGTGCCCCCATTCGACCATTTTCTGGTGGTGGTGGAGGCTATAGTGGTGGACGAGGCGATAAAATTCCCACTCCTCCACCGCCGCCCTCTACTTACCAGCATCGTGGACCGCCACCTCGTGACAGTGGTGCAGTGGAGGCCAAAAAGCCCTCCGAAAGGTATGTTGTTTACCGTTTAATGACAGCTTTTCTAATGTGGCTCATNAGGCGATAAAATTCCCACTCCTCCACCGCCGCCCTCTGCTTACCAGCATCGTGGACCGCCACCTCGTGACAGTGGTGCAGTGGAGGCCAAAAAGCCCTCAGAAAGGTATGTTGTTTACCGTTTAATGACAGCTTTTCTAATGTGGCTCATTTTTTCTCTAGGAAATATTCCGACAACGACTCTTCAGCGGACTCTGACTCCAAGAGCGGCAGCAAGCGCAAGCACAGCAAGTCCAGCAAAAAGAGGCGCCATCGTGATGCTTCGAGCAGCGAGGACGACAGCGGGGACAGCGACAAAGAGGGCGAAGACGGTGACGATGATCGGCGAGGATCCTCTTCGAAGAAGAAACGCTCCAAGAAGCACAAGAAGCACTCTAAACATCGCAAACACAAAAAGAGGCGCTCCAATGAAGGCGACTCGGATGGGGAGGACAGTTCCGGTGATGAGGGCGGTGAGAAGAAGAAGAAGAAGAAGAGCAAAAAGAGCAAGAAGCATCGCAAGCACCGCAAGCGAAGCGATGACGACTCGGACAGTGGCAAGGAGGAGGAAGGCAAGTCTGCTGCTGCGGACGGATCAGGTACGGCAGCCGCTGCCGGCGACTCTGACTCTCGCTCCGGCTCCAAGCGGAAGCACAAGTCGAGCAAAAAGTCGAGCCACAAGAGCAGCAAGAGCAAGAAAAGCAAAAGTGGGCGAGGAGGTGGAGGCAAACGAAGCAGTGACGATGACAGCAGTGCCGAAGAAGGTGGTGGTGGTAGAGGAGGTGGGAGTGGCAGAGGAGGAGGTGGTCGACCAAGTGACTAAGGAGGGGGATTCCCTTCTGTCACTGCCACCTTTTTACACGCTGTTTACTTCTTTCTCTGCACAAGCCATTTATAATTGCGGTTCCAATTGCCCCACCACCTTTCCATCTTCTTCCACACTTTACTTCAACATTGCAATTTCGAACGCCCTCTCTTTGCACTTTACACACACTCTTTTATCGCTCTTTAGGTAGTGCCTATTGAATTGATTGCTTCTTCTGATGCTGATGATGATTCCCCCATCCTTTCCTTCCTCTCTTTCCTTCTTTCCTCATCCTTCACCACACCTCCTCTGTACAGTGCTCTAATGTTGCTCTAATATCGCTGTTCTTTTAACTCCGCAACACACACCCCCTCCAACATTTGCATCCATTGTCACTTTACTGAACATCATTATTATATTGTACTATGCTTACAAAACTTAATAAAAATTACTTTAGAACACTTTTGGCTTTCAGTACGCTTGAATGTTTGCAACGATAATCAGCGGAGTGAGTTTATTGAATGTTAGAAGGTGTCAAAAGGAGATAAAGACAGGCAAGTTGGAACTGTTTAAATTGTCGTGCTTACTGGTTGATCTTCTTCACGCACTTCGCGGCCACATTGTCGCAGACCAGACCGTCGGCGCAAACCTGGTGGTGGGGGTGAGTTCCACCGTGGACCAGAATCTCCAAGCAGTGTTCGTTCTCCTCTGAGGAAGAAAAAAAATTTGGTAAAATTACAAATGCTTTTTGGCAAATCACTTCAAGCACTTACGCTGCATCTTGGCGCACTCGTGGCAACATCCGCAGTAGCCACTATTGAGGAAGTACTTGTACTGACCGGGCGTGCCTCGCGACAGACACTCCGCCTCGCCGCGATCCAGTGGACAGTGGACTTTACGACAGGCGTCCACGGGGCAGACGATGTTGGCGAGGGCGGCCGAGCTGAAGACGGCCAGCACCAGGGCAATCACAAGGAGGGAACGCATTCTGGAGAAGTTGTTTGGTGGTTAATTGTTGGTGTTGTTTTAAGAATTGCTAGTGATGTCTCTGACCGACCATTCGGAGTCTTTTTATATGGCCATTTTTGTGCTGTTGTATCACTAGCTGTTCCCTCCAGCTGAGATGCAAGTCAAAGTCTTGAATCGGTTCGGACCACCACCACCACCATTGGCTGTTGGCAACGCAACGCAATGTTTTTTGTACGCCGGGACAAATCTCTTCACGGTTGCCAAACGGTGGACCTCAATCACATGTGTAATTGTACCCTGAGGTGTACGGCAGAAAGAGGTAGTACCGTAGATAGACCTGCCATAGAGCTGGAGAAGATCAGTGAAGGACACTGCGACCAGTGTGTACGCTTATCACGGCTCGCTTCTCAAGTGGATACAACATTGTGACTGATTTGAGAATCTGCAGAGATGGCTGCATCTTCAGGCTGCCTCCTCTGGTGATATCTTCTGACTTGGGGTAACATCGAGAAGGGTCGAACTTTGCCTCGTCGCAATTATCATCTCGATTCTTCAGCCTCGTGTGCCTTTTCAGTTTGAGTGATTTTGAAACTGCTTTTGAGTCTCGTCGTTTTTGAATGCGCGCGCTTTTGCTGTTTGAAGTCACGTGACACAAACATTGACTTTTTCACTGTTTCTGGTTTTGCTGGTGTCCTCTCCTTTTCTCCTTTGCCTTTTTAGTCACCATGTCCACTTCAACGGCCATCAAGTACGGCCAGGCGCTGAAGCAGTACCGATCCATTGCACAGCTTCTCCGACGTGATAAGGTATGAGTAGGTCAATTTGGTGAAAAAATCAACTTAATCCTAATTTTCTGTTTTGATTAGGAAAAGGTGTCCTCGATGCCCGTTCTGGAGCACATTCGCCAAACCATTCGCCAGCACAACGTCACTGACCAGCGTCTTTGCCGAGCCCCTGAAGAGTTGCACTACCTCGCCGATTGTTACCGAACGTACCTGCAGGCAGGCCAGCAGTACCGAACGCTGTACTCGAAGCACTACGGCAAGGGCGAAAAGACGGTGGAAGAGGCGGCGAGGACGGTCGGCCTAAAGTTGCCCGAGGCGAAGAAGGACTAAATGTCGGATAGATAGAGTTAGCTAGTTATCCGAATTAGTGTAAATAAAAGTTCAGTACTAGTCTTTAGAATGTGTGTGTTGAAGCTCTAACCTAAAGGACTTTATTTGGCAACAAACGAACAAGGCACTACTTAACAGCACATCACAAGCAGCCGCTGACAATGTCGTAGCCGCCGAGGAAGATGGCCCCACCGACGGAGATCCACGCCACCCTGGGCAGGGCGCCCGCAAAGAGGCCCTTCACTCCCTTTCGGCTGTAGATGTCGACTAGAACTCGCCGGTACTCGCTCTCGGTGTTCCTCTTCTCTTGTTGAGCTGCCGAACTGAGCATGATGGTCGTCTTGGCGACGTCCAGCGGTGTGGTGAGAAAGGCGGCCACTGCGCCGGCGGCAGATCCACAAGCCATCGACTGGTACGGCTTAAGGGCTGGTGGTGATAATGATGATGATGAATTCCTATCGCCCCCATTCTTTTCTGCGACCACCCTCTTCAGGTACTCCCAAAGGGGGAATTGCACCAGCGAAAAGGGAATCTCCCGAATCAGCGTGCTCGTGTAGCCTCGATACAACCCTCTTGGTCCACTCTGGGCGAGCACCTGTCGGAGGACGGCCGGACTATTCGAATTGTACGCCTGAGCTCGCTGCTTGACCACCTCCACTGGAACACGCACCAGACAGGCCACCGTTTCACCGAGACAGGCGGAGACTAGGTGGCACACTGCAGAAGAGGAGGAGGAGGTCTGATGCTGAGGGCTGGCAGTTGCTGAAGATAAAACTCTTTTTGAAGTTTCATAGGTAAAGAAGAAAAGCGCCGCACTGGGCGCCGATCCGGAAACGGTGGAGCCCAGGCCGGCGTACAGTCGCTTGAAACCGCCTGACAGGAGGAACCCACGTGGGCTCTGCAGCCTCGTCTTGATGGTGTCCACGGGGAAGAGCAACACGTCCACCGAGAGGCCGGCCACAGCGCCCGCGATGAGGGGATTCAGAAGACGGCGTGAACTGAGGTGATCATCTTCGTCGGCTTCTGAGGATAAGGTGGTGGACATTGCCACTGGCGCGCGCCAAAGTCAAATCCTAGGAAAAAAGAGGCAAAAAAATTGTAAACAACTTTGTCGCCAGCTTTTTATTTTTTTTCCCACCGCTCCCGTCCGCAGATGAGAGGACCACCGGGCTGTCCATTTAAAAATCGGCCGTTGTGTTGTATTGATTTGCTTCTGTTGCGCCGACAGCAGCGGCAGCGGAGACTTGTAGCGCACAACTGTTTTTATTCTTCTCGACGTGGCCTTTTGTGATGCGTGTCAAGCTGTAAAGTCGAACGAAGATTTTATCAAGGTAAGGTTGACGTTGTTGAAGATGACTACAAAGGTGCTGACCTCCTTTTTCGCTTTCTGTCCAGCCATGTCCTCCTTCTTCGCTGCCACCACCACCAGCACCGGTGATGCTAGGAACCTCAGCAGTGCCAAGCCCCTCGATGTGATCAGCCCCGAGAGAAAGGACGCATTCTGCGAGTTTGTCCTCTCGCTGCCTCGAAAGTGCTCGCCCACCATCTGCGGCATCATTCAGCTACCTCCGCCGTCGATGAATGAAACGCTGCTGCAGACTTCTGAGAGCCTTCGAAATGATGACGAGGAGGACGTGCCAATGGAGACCTCTTCTTTTCAGGTCAACACCGAACAGGAAGACGGTGAAGAACTGGACGAAGACGACAGGCAGCTGATGAGCAATGGCAGCAGCAACAACAGTGCCCTGAAGGACTCCATCTGGTCGATTGACGAGTACTCTGAACTGTACGGCGGCGACTTTGACAACGTCCACGAGCTGGAGCACTTTCACGAGTACGAGTCGGAGCAGCTGTCGAAGCACCTGGACAACGAGTCGCGGCTCTTCTTCAGCCAGCCCTCCATCAATCCCTCGCCGGTGGCCGACAGATCCACCACCAATACCAGTGCTCGATGTTCAGAGGAGGAGAACAAGGAGAACTTCCACTCCGTTCGGCGCAGTACCGCTTCCTTCATTCGATACATTGACACACTGGAGAGCATGAGTGGCAAGGCGAACCACCAGAACCAGGTCGGCGAATTTGATCATCTGCAGATGATGGCGGCCACCACCACCACGCCCACCAATAAGGGCAACCAGTCAGCCACAGATTATGAATTTCATAATGAGCTTGATGAGCAGCAGGAGCAGCTCGACTCGGGCAACTTTCATGAGACAACGGCAAACAAGAGAACGCCCTGCAAACAGCGGCCTGGTCGCCAGCAATACTTTCACCACCAACAACAACACTCAAAAATGTCCTTTGCGGAAAGCCTAAGCGACTTTGACAGTGACGTCTTCTCGGGCACTACCACCAACTACATCAACACCACCACCACAATGGACATCTCCTTTGAGCAGTCGTCTTTGGGCAATCTGAGCGCCTCGGCGGGGGCGGCGATGAGCAGCAGCGGCGGCGGAATTATCCTCAACCACCGCTGTGGCGGCCTCTCCAAATTTGAGTCGCACAGTCTGCAGATCAAGTACAATGAGTACTTTGACTTTTCGCCCATCTCGCCCATCAGCAGACGTACGCCGCAACGAGCTGGGGATATTGTCGGCGCTGGACGGGCTGCTGGTGGTTGTGGTGATGGGCTGAAGAACGCCAACAACCTCGCCACCAGGACCACTCCTTCGTACAATGGTGGTGGTAGTAGTGGAGGTCGAAACGCCGTCTTCAAGACGCCCTCCTCCAAGCAGCGAGTCCTCCAGCGAACCAAGCTCTTCAATGACCAGGCCTTTGAGTCTACTCCCACAACTGATCGGCTTAATTGTAACCTGTAAATTATCATCTACCCCACCATTACCATCATTCATATCCTAAGGCTCAATTATGGGAGACATGATGCACATTAGATGGATTGCACAGCATCTCATATCATATTTTCTGCTTAGCACTAAGCATCTTTTTTTATAAATAATGTGTATACAAGCAGTAATAATAGCAATTAGAAAAAAAATAATAAATACCTATGATCAGAGTAAGCATGTCAGAAGATTTACAGTGCATGTAAGGGAGAAAGGGAGGGAGGAGGAGGGGATCAGGTTTTTGTTTGTTTGTTGGGTAGGTCTTCGATTTCTTCTCAGCAGGCTACCGTCTTTTCACCACCGGGTTCCTGCTGCTTTGAGGCAGCGGCACTGTTGTGGTTGTTTATCATCAGTTGCTGTTGCACCATCACCGAAGTGGTCGCCGCCGCCGCCGCCGCCGTCATATCACCGTTATTCACACAGCTGCTGGTCACCTTGGTCACCCCGTCGGCGCNGGTGGTCGCCGCCGCCGCCGTCATATCACCGTTATTCACACAGCTGCTGGTCACCTTGGTCACCCCGTCGGCGCCCGTCCTGCCCACCACCATGGGGCAGTTCTTCTTCGCGGCCATGGACACCTGCTGCTGGTACACGTAAGCGTTGGGGTGAATCTTGAAGCCGTACAGACTAGGCACAAACTGTGCGGTGGGCTTTGGCGGGCGCGCCTCGGGGAAGACCATAAAGAACATGTGGGGAAAGTTGGTGCCGAAGTAGGCGCCGTCGATGGAGATGTACTTGGAGCTGATGGAGAGGTGCGGCACGAAGATGTCCATACAGCGCGGACAGTAGAGCCGCACCGGCTGCTGGTTGGGGTCGTCGGAAAGGCCGATGGGCAGCATGGACGCCTGTTCGCAGTAGTAGCGCGTGCACTTGCCGAACTGCCCGGCCTGGTACTTTTCGCGCATCTTCGCCAGGCCGGTGTCGGTGAGGATGTAGCGGGCGTGTATCAGGCCGTACAGCACCTCGGCGGAGGAGAGAATTTGCTGGAGAAGACAGTGGAGATGGAAAGAGGGGGAAAGAGAGGGGTTGTTTTAGTAAGCTATGAACGAGGGACTACTTACAATTTTTTTATTGTATACATCTTGTGACTGGTAGGAGTCGTCGTCCGAGTCTGAGGCCAGCAGCTGGTCCAGCGTCTCCTGGTCAATCTTGTCGATGATGATCTCACAGGACTGGCGGTAGTAGGGCACCAGCTCCTCCAGGCCGGTCAGGTTGAACTTGTCGATGATGTACTCGCGGTCCACCTTGCACAGGTACTCGTTGCCGTCCATCGAGCAGAAGCGGTCGATCCAGGTGCCCTGCTTGCCGCTCTGGTCGGTGGTCGCCGCCGAAGACATTACTTTGGTGCGGTTTGGCTGGCGGTGCTTTACGACTGAGCGACTTTTGCTGTTGCTGCTGGCGATGGTAGTGGTGGTGGTGGTGGTTTGCAGAAACTGAATCGTTTCGATGATGCTCATTCAACAGAGCAAGGAGTGTGCTAGCTGTGGTGATGGGCAAGGCTGTGGTGGTGGTGGTAGTTGCATGTGGATGTCATTACTGGATGGTGGTGGTGATCATTTGTTGATTCAATGATGATGTTCAACTGCAGTAGTGCCGACTAGATTTGCTGTTGCTGCTACTGCTACTGTTATTAGTTGAAACACAACCGAGGCAGACGACTAATTAGCCGGAAGAGGCAAATGAACGAAGAGGCCAATGCAATGAGGAGGAGAAACAATCAAGAGCACTTGAGGAAGAAATGGAGAGTTGGTTTTCAGTGATCAATTGCTGATACCTTCTATAGAAAAAAGAATGATGATAATGGCAAATTCGGGTGCTAGCTGCCTAGGTTGTTGGTCCTTCGAGCTCTTATTGCACCGTTTGCTGTATTCGGACCGTCACCCAAATTTTTTCGGCCACAAGTTTCAGGGCGGCGACGGCGGTGGCGGCGCAGGTAACTTTACTACCTCCTGATAAGCCGATCATTCCAGATCTTCTGAAGAGAGTTAGAAGAGAGATGTTCAATCTGGAGACTAACAACAATCAAAACAACACCGGTGGCTGGTCTGAAGAAGAGGCGCCTCGAGGAGAACGTAGACTGAAAGAGAGGGAGAGAGAGAAATAGAACTCTTCTTCATTCACTTCAGCAGCAGCAGCAGAAGAAATGCTTCCGTACGTGTGTTCACGTTCAGTGCGGTGAAGAGAGAGCAGCAGCTGCTGGGGTGCTATCGCCACTCACTCGCTGCCCCGGAGTAGCAGACAGAGTGGATATGGCAGACGGTGGCAAACAAGCGAATGATTTGCAGCCTGCAAATCACACACACACACTGTCAACTGTAGACAAAACACTGCCTTTGCTTGTCCGAGTGAGACTTTGTTCAAAGTGTTCCTCTTCTACTCTACTACCTAAATTGGTCATCTCAGCATCTCACCATCAGTGTCAGCTGAGCGAGAAGAAGACAACAAAGGTGGGGACTGAACTCAATTTGACAATCAACACCAAAGGCGGATTATTTAGAACACTCTTTGTGTCTACCACTGTAGCCGGCACTGTCCCACCCTCGACATATCACGAGGATTCGGCAAAGGTAAAGTAAACAAACACCAGTAGAACTACACCAAACAACCAAGATGGCCTTCACCTTCACTGCGTTCACCTACATTCTGGCGCTTATTCTCGACGCCTTTCTCATCTTCTTCTCGGTCTTTCATGTAAGCTGCTGCCGGTGCTGGTGCTGCAATACTGCTATTGCTGCTGCACCCGTTATCAAGCCGCAATCAGTGCGTGATTAATCATCACTTTTTTGCTTTTCCTTTCTCCCTTTGACAGGTCATTGCGTTTGATGAGCTAAAGACTGACTTTAAGAATCCCATTGACCAGTGCAATACCCTCAATCCGGTAGGTGTTTGGTTGTCATGACACTGTGCAAACAACACCTAATACTGACGTGTAACACCTTATTTTTTTCAGTTGGTCTTGCCCGAGTACCTCATTCACCTCTTCTTCAATGTACTCTTTCTCTTTTGCGGTGAATGGTTCACTTTGCTCCTCAATGCGCCACTCATCGCCTACCACGTTCACAGGTAAGTGTTCAAGGTGTATTTAAGAGCCTTTTTACTTACATTTTCAACCTCCACCTAGATACATGAACCGCCCTGTG